TGAGCAATGTTAGTCTCAACGTTACATACATTTTGCCAAATGGTAGAAGAACGTGAGTTTACTAATTCATGTTCTTTTAATATGTAACAAAAACGCTGGGTCCAACAACAAAATTAAACCGTGATGTTTCATAAGATAATTTGGGAGGTATGGAATATTGATATTTTTTTCTCCTAATTGTGTTAAATTGGTCGTTGTCTCATAAACCACATACATAATCCTTCAAATTCCCTTTTCAGAGTTTTTTCTTTTCTTTTTAAAAGCATATATATATATGCACCTGCATGCATCTGTATATTTGTTAGCTCTTGTCAATCAGATAAACCAAATAGCTATTATGTATTAAATAGTTTCTTTCTACTCCATTTACCGAAATCTAGTTAATATCTCTCAATTCGTTATCATTCTCGCACCGCTTACGTTCTCAACAATTAAAATGGAGCAATACAAGGTCATTTTTGTTAGTTAGGTATTATATCATCAACAATTTTGAAAAAGATTAGTGAGTGTCTTTTAATTTTTCATTACAATAACGATTACGTACAATTTTCATATTTTTTCTATTATTTACCAAACAACACAAGAAAAAGGTAAACAACAATGTATCAATTTAGTGCGTAAATAATGTAACATTTTTATTAAAAGCATTTGCACATATATATATATTGAGTTTTATAAGAGTTATGTCGTAGGAAAAGTGATTGTGTAATGATATAGAGATTCGTTTTGCGTGCTGTAATTTTTTTTTTCTTTTTTATTCAAAAAGTATGGGCCCTACAAAATGTTATGTGTGTAAACAAGTTTGTTGTATCATATTAAATAATAAATGCAAATCCCATATATATTTATATACATACACACACTGCCTCGTTGGTACGTGCTTCGAAAGCTTCACTTGCTAGTTGTTTCCATTCAATTATACATCATTATGGAAAGTGAAATGGCCCTCTGTGTTCTTTTGTCAGTCCGTGCTAGCTTCACGATAACTTCAACTTGCATGGCTCCAATCAGGGCGGAGATTGTTGGCGCTAGAGGGTGCTTGCTCTTATTGACTCTTTCTTTTTTGAAGTTTTCTTAACACAATTATATCCTTTTGGATATTTTTTATTATAATTACTTTTTTGAGATAAGTTTGCTCCTGAATATTTCTATAAATTTCAACTTTTTAAAGTGACTATGCAATTAATTCTAAATTGAGATTTAGTCACATTTAAAATTTTCCATCCCTTATAAAAAATGTATTTAGTGAATATTAAATCTAGGTTCTCTCCCTACCTCATGTGTAGACCCCTTGAAATATTTTTTTTTTTGTCCTCCTCATGCAAATGATATATATATGTATCAAAACGGCAACCACATGCACTATTATAACTGAAAATAATATTTGCACATAAATAAATTATTTTTACACTATTTGATTCATTATTTGACAAAAAAAATAGTTTAGAAAAATGTGCTAAAAAGTAATAACGTAAGAATGATGTCAACTTTTTATGTGCAAATTGTAATATCAATTTGAATAGTAGAGTAATGGACTCCAACTAAGTGTATATTCTATGGAAGATCCCTGTCGATCCCTAGTCCCTAGCTAGATATTCTTTTCCATGGTAGATTTTCTGGCATATGAATCTCAGTGCCTGTTTCTGTAGATTCCCGTATCAAAACACTATAATACATTCACTGAAAGTCAGTTATTCGGATTTCATTTCGTCGTTGAATTAAAGTATCGATGTGATAGAAAAAGAGTTTGTTGCAGTGTCAATGATACATGTTTAATTTCACTTAACCAAAATTTTGGATTTAAGTTTTTATAAATATAAGATAAAAAAAATTTAAGAATTAATCCCATCATAACATGGATATTTTATACTCGAATAGGATTGATTCTCACAAAAAAATATTTGTGATTTATCCAAAATAAATAAAGTATCATTGTGCACGTTGAGTGTATCTTCCTCTCTAGACATCTAATTGCTTGGATATATTATAAGAAAAATATTACTCTTATTTTATATGAGATAATTATCTCATGTTATCTCATTTTTAAAATTGCACCTCCTCTTTTTTTTTTTCTTCTTTTTTACCCTTTAAAGATGGGTTTTACCTAGTTTCTCTATATGTCATGAGAAACCTACTTTCATGTAAAACGAGAATAGTATTTCACATATTATAATGCAATTTTTGTTCTGCCACACATAAAGAAATGTAAAATCATGAAAGTGGTTTTCATCTAATAGCTTCAATTTTTGGTATATATCTGAGGCATGTTATAGTTACCACCAATTAAGTTTATTACTTTTTACCATCAAATTTTAATCATTGATTTTTGCCAATTTGATGGTTATAATTTATTAAGAATTAATAATTAATTAATAAGTTTCATCTAATAAATTATAATTGCCAGATTGACGGAAATCAACGGTTAAGATTTAGTGTAAGAAGTGGTAAACTTAATTGGTAGTAAGGTTCCCCATATATATATAGGGTTTAATGTTTCTTATATTGCAGGGGATAAATTTTATATCCTACGCATACATAAACTAATAAAAGTGTGTGAATCTCATGTGAAGGAAGAGAGACAAAGATAAAACATGAGTCCCATATATTTTTTTATATGTATAAAAGATAAAATTATCTCTTATAATAATAATAATATATATATATATACACCATGTTACAGGAAAAAAAGACTTTGTTAGGGTTAACATGTTTTATTTTATCTTTCCTTATTTTAGTTTCTCTTTCCTCGAATTACTTTTTCTCTCAAATTTTTTGTCTATCTTGGAAGAGAGAAAAAAAAAAAAGATTTTGCTGGGGTTAACATGTTTTATTTTCTATTTCCTCGTTTTACTTTCTCACTCAATTTTTATTTTATTTTTGGCAATTTTGAAAGAGAGAGAGAACTTCAACAATATGCAACACGAGAAGTTTTTCTCACGCATATATATATATATATATATATACTCTGTTCTCACGGTTCGCAGCACCACCTATTCCTAATGCTGACAGACGCACTTCGAAGAACTCTTCGTCCCTTGTGTGTGTGGGTTGGAACCGTGAATGACTCCAAATCTTGTTTCACAGCCTCAAGCTTTTTGAAACAGTCTTATAAATGATACGGATCACCAAACTAAAACCAGTCAGTATAAACCTCCCCGGGCCTGGTTGATAATGAATTAGCCAACAAGAGATATCATGTGCCTATTGGGGGCAATCTCCAGCACTCTAAAGGGGTTGAGCTAAAAGAGGCTCACTCATCAGAAAATTTGCAGTATAATTCACCTCTTAATTAGTCTGATGCCTGCTATAAGCGGCAGAAAGCAACAGAGTTTGAGATGGCCCCCCAAAACAACCTTTTTTTTTAATACAATCGTTACAGCAAGTATTCAGTTCAATAGTCATATTATAATTATATATAGTAATCATATTATAATTATATATTTTGCAGACATAGTTATAATATTAAAATTATTTTTTTTCTTCACCATAAATTGTTGGACTGTCCACTGACATAAAAAGAAAAATTAATATTATAATTATATATTTCTTAAAATATATAATTACAAAAACCCGTTTCACTTAATACTAACCGCCACGGTTGTACTAAGAGACTGTTTGGTAGGGAGGCAAAAAAAATTAGCCAGGACAATAGGATAGAAAAAATAATAAGCAACGTTTGGTAGGAGGAATGAAAAAAAAATGTATTGGGAAAAAAGTTTATGGTGTTTTCAATTTGTTCGTGAATGGGTTCGAAAATTATGCAATCGTAGAGGTGGTTACCTTTTTTTTCCGTCAGTGACAAATTCTTGTCGCTTTGTTGTGACTAAAATACCCTGCTTCAAAGTACATTTATCAAACATCGATTGGTGAGCCATTGTTTAGGTGTGGAAAAGGTAATTCGGTAAATATTCTTATCTTTTTTTACAATCAACAAAACATACCTTAGTAAAATTAATCCAAGCAAATACTTTTTCGTTATTTATCCGACAACAAAAAAATTTCATCATATTCTCCTGCAATTTTTCTTCCAGGTCAAAAAAAATTCCTCACGTACGAAACGTCTCTGAACAAATTCTCCCCCCTAAAATACTTTGAAACAAGATAAATTTCCATCTATTTATTTCTTTATAAAAATAGAAAAAAGAAGTAATGAATATGCTACAGAATCATTTGAAAGTCATATCAAATTAAAAAGTTTGTATCTACTAATTTTTTTTTAAAAAGTTTGATACTTATCTTCGTTTCTGTTAATCTGAAAACGATAATTTTTAAAAAATTAATAATTAATTAAAAAATTATGTCAATTATTATCGTGGATAAAAATCAAATGAAGCATTTAAAAATTAATTAATAAATTAACATTTCAAATGAGTTGTTTCACTGGTAGCATGGGTACTGAGTGGTGGGAGAAGACCTCGGTTCAAATTCCACTAACACTATCTGGGGAGAGGCATAAATACCGTAATTCTTGAACTCACACCCGAACTCTGAATTAGTCTTATAAACTACTCAAAGAGTCGAACTCCCCTCCAAAAAAGATAATTAGAATCGATTTCAAAAAAAAAAAAAAAAGTGAGATCATTTCCTTAATCTTCACGCCTCAATTTCAACTGCATCATCTCTCTGTTCAAGTCTTTGCTTGTTGGATATTGTCAATTTCTCTCTCTACCCTTCAGTACTGCTCACAAAATCTGTTTCTCTCTATCCCCTGCCTGCATGCATTTAAAAGGGCATGCATTGCACACCCCCCTTCCATGCAATCACTTCACTGACCATTCCCACTTCACGCCACCCTCTCCTACCTCTTTATATTTCCGTAATATATCACTCACACTCACTCATTACCGTCACAATATATATAGTAGTGTACCAATACGAGGCAACAAAAAGGGATTCGAACTCAAACTAAATAAATAAATATATTTATAAGTTTTCTCTTTTCTCTCTTTCTTTCTGCTTCTTTTTAAATTCTTGAACACTTTCCCTAGAGATTTTATTACATGGGGTCTTGTAAAGACCAAGAACGACGAGAGCAAGGGAAGTGTGTGTGGGTTCAAGGACCTATCATTGTAGGTGCTGGACCCTCAGGGTTAGCCGTAGCTGCTTGTCTCTCTGATCATGGAGTACCTTACGTGATTCTTGAGAGGAGTGACTGCATAACTTCTCTTTGGCAAAACAGGACCTACGACCGTCTCAAACTCCACCTTCCCAAAGAGTTCTGTGAGCTTCCCTTAATGGGTTTCCCTAGTAATTTCCCAAAGTACCCTACAAAGTACCAGTTCATCTCCTACATGGACTCCTATGCTTCACGATTCTCTATTCACCCAAGGTTCAACCAAGCTGTTCTCAGTGCGGAGTTTCATCCAAGTTGTGAAATTTGGGTGGTTAGAACTCATGATTTTCAGTACATTTCCCCGTGGCTTATAGTTGCTACAGGAGAGAATGCTGAGCCTATTATTCCCTCAATTCCTGGGATGGACAAGTTTCTTGGACCCATTGTTCATTCCAGCTTGTACAAGTCTGGTTCTAGTTACAAAAACAAGAAGGTTTTGGTGATTGGTTGTGGTAACTCAGGAATGGAAGTTAGCTTTGACCTTTGCAGGCACAAAGCCATCCCCTATATGGTTGCAAGAGACACAGTAAGTTTCATTTTTTATTTTTTTGTTTTTTCAGTTTTTTCAACCAATTCATCCTTTGGACTACATCCACTTCGTGCACCCTATTAAAGGTTGCAGCTATCCCAAATTCTTTTTTTCAGTACATGGCTTTGAACTCGAGACTTCTGGTTAAATGACTCGGGCTCATACTTGTTACCATTTGTGTCAATTATGTTTGGTTATTTTTTTATCTTTTGGGTAACTAAGCAAGTGTGTCATTTTTTTTTGCTGACTTAATTTTATGATATAGGTACATGTTCTGCCAAGGGAGATGTTTGGTTTGTCAACTTATGGAATAGCTATGGCACTGTTTAGATATCTTCCTTTAAAATTTGTAGACAAGTTTCTATTGCTGGTTGCTAGCTTCATGTTGGGAAACACCGATCGCTATGGCATCAGGAGGCCCAAGATGGGTCCAATTGAACTCAAACTTGCCACTGGGAAAACCCCTGTCCTTGATGTTGGACAAGTTGCACAAATTAAATCCGGTAACATAAAGGCACGTACATTTAATTTGTTGATGCATCGAGTATTAATAATGTACTTGTAATTGCAAATTTACCTTGTATATATATCGAGTCTAATAGCTGAGATAATTTTGGGTTTATTTCAGGTGATGGAAGGTGTGAAGGAGATAACAAGAAATGGTGCCAAATTTATGAATGGACAAGAATATGAGTTCCAAGCTATAATATTGGCAACGGGATACAAGAGCAACGTACCCACTTGGCTCAAGGTAAAAAAATGGACCTGATCTTATGTGTTTTTAGCTTTATCTTATTGTGAAATAGTTATGACTTATCACTTATCAGTCATCACATCGTGTAGAGAGAGCAGAAAATTACAAATTGTTTCTTTTCTTGATGCAAGAAATAAAGAGAATGTTGAGATATATAAAATTATTAATATAGCCTCATCCAATAACTTAAGTTTTTGAGTTAAATTAGTTGATAGAATAAAATGACTTTGGGTCGGGCGCTTAACAAATTCAAAACTTTTTATTCTAGTGACTTTTCATGATGTGTAACCATCATGAAATATCGCGTTAAGCAACTTGTAAAAGCGCACCTAAAAAGTACCCTCTTTTGTTCTTTTGTTTTTTAGCTTAAAACTTCAATTTTCAACTACTTAAACTACTAACAAATGGCCCCAATTTTTTTTAATTTCAAGTATATATAATAATATGTTATTTACTTATTATGAATGAAACTGCATGCAGAGCTGTGAATCTTTCACCAAAGATGGAATGCCCAAAACGTCATTTCCCGAAGGTTGGAAGGGAGAGAATGGATTGTATACGGTGGGGTTCACAAGAAGAGGTCTTCTTGGAACAGCATCTGATGCCGTTAAGATCGCTAAAGACATCGCTAATCAGTGGAAGACCGTTAAGGACAAGACATACTGTAATTCCCATATCATTTTGCTCAAGAGTACATAATAAACATGTGTAATTTCGTAATTGTACTAGCTTTTCAACCTCCTAGTGTTTTTTGTCCGCATGAACAATTTTGTAATTCCAGCATCGTTTGTTCGACTGTGTTGTGATTTTTTTGTTCTTAATTATTTTTTGTAAAATAATTAATGAAATAGGTGTTTTTTATATTTTTTTATTTTGAAAGTTAAAAGTCAAAACATAAAATAAAAATAACTAGGATATATTCTTTAAATTTAATTCTAAAAATAAAAACAAAAAAAAATAATATAGTTTTTAATTTTTTTACAAAATAGACCTTATGAAGCCCTTTGGTAGCTTTGAAGCTAAATATATTTTGCATATATTTCGAGTTGAGTTAGTGTCTGTTTGGATCATCTCTTTTTTAAGCTAGAAGCTACTTATAAGCATAAGGTAGGTCAAACAGATTTTGGGAAAAACTTTTATAGTGAAAAGCACTTTTTTTATAATGAAGAAAAAAACTGAAAACTAAAAGCTCCTAGGAGGAACTTTTTTTAAGCTTTTATTTGTTTTTCTTGAATTGTGTGCTTTTCTTTTAAATGAAGAGTGATAAAGATAAAGAGAGAGATAATTTTCTTAAAATATGTGCTTTTAAGTCATTTTTAAACGAAATTTTTTATGTAATTTTCAAACAGCTTTTAGCTTCTTCTTTTAAGCTCTTTTTTTTTAGCTTTAACTTATAAGTAACTTCTAACTTAAAAATAAGAAGATCCAAACAGGCTCTTAGTACGGTCTGATTTTCGCATATATATTAATTGTTAAAATGAGTAAAATTTTCCTTTTTAATATATTATAAGTAACAATTTATTTTAAAATAACTAATACAAATAAATTTTGGTTTTATAATATAAGTTAATTATATAAATTATTTGAAATTAATATTTTTTAAATGTTAATTATATGAATATGTAAAGAAAATATAGTTCAAAAGCCTTCCCCGAATAGTATGTGACTTGCATAGGGTGAGGATAGACTAACAATTTACTATCATTTTATATTTAGCTTGATATTATCTGATTATAATTTTTTCATGACTTGAGTATGTTAAAATTTTGTATCTATATGTACCAAAAAAAAAAAAAAAAAATTGTATCTATTTCTTTCTTTATATTACTATTAATAAGCTTTAATTGAATTTCATTTATTTAATATATTGAAGGAAAGAGATATTGAGATATATATAAAATTTTGACTGAACCTAATCATATGAAATTAACACCCTATATATTAATTTTATTGTTGTGTCTTTTATCTTTTATCTTTTATAACATAATCTTTACCCTTAGTGAGTAATCTTGATATGAAATAAATTTATAGTTTTCCCAATTAATCATCGTTGACGTTTTGGGAATAAATATTTTTAGAGTTTAAATTCACATTATCATATAATAATGTTTTGTCACTTGTTATTTGATGAAATTAACAATAAAGTTTACATATAAAAAATGGGAAAAATATTTTTGCAGTTAATGCAGATAAGCTATCTGCATTTATTTCCAAAACGACGTTGTTTTGATATTGAAATCTTAAAAAATTATAAATATAAAGATAAATTAAAATTACAAAAATATCATGATTTCTGCCCCAAAACGACGTCATATTGAGCTTATTGCAGATAAGTTATCTGCAGTAACTGCAGAAAAAGTAAACCCATAAAAGATATCAAACTCGTCAGATAATAGTGTAAATTTACATTAATGTAATGCATTTAACTTATCAAATCTACTAAAGAGATTGATTCAAGTGGTATATGTTTAATTCTTCTTAAGTAAAGTCTTGGGTAAGTCTTGGGAATACAAAAAAATCTCTTTTGGAAGAGCTAATCACACCATAATGTGAATGTTACCGACTTGAATAAAATTGTCTTCCGAATAGCATACCTGTAATTTATAAAAAGAAAAAATTATAAAAATCTAATCAAACTATTTGAATTTGTCCTTCCAAGTTCCAACTCATCAACTAATTAACTCACGTCAAATCCGAAAATTTCTTTAATGCAATGGAGTAAATAACTTGGTACTCTTTTAACATGGATGTATCTACAGCAGTTGTAACAAAGATTTTCTCGTCAAAAACGTAAGGATCTCACTAGAATTGGGATTGTTTATAGTTATTTAAAGATATATAATGGCAACGATTAAAAATGACTTATTTTATTGTAAAATATATATATATATATATAAGCATAATTCAATAAGTACGCACTATTGCGAATGAGATGAAAGGAAAGGGAATTCATAACATGAGAGCTTAGGCTGAGATACTTAATCATTAATGGTATTTGATGGTGGCAAACTAGGCTAAGATTTTGGAGCCCGGCACGGTGCTGCTGTGAGGCCTGTGAAAGGGTTAAGTCAAAACTGAAAAGTCAACAACGTTGCTTAGAGTTAGAAGACTCTCGACACTTGATTTTTGCTTGTTGCCAAGGTGGTATTAATTTATTCATAACAAGTTCATTAAATCGTTAATAGCATTTCTTTCTTATATAAATTCCACAAATTTGAAAGAAATATGGGGAAAATACATTGTAATCTGAAAAGCATGGAAGGAGAAACGCTTCGTAGGATGGAAAAATTTACAAACAATGCAATTCACTTGAATTCTGATTTTATTTTATTTTTTTTTACACTTTATTTTTGCACTTATATAATCACCACGCACTTTTTTTTTATTTCAAAAAAGAAAGAAAGAAGGGAGAGTGCATGGAAAGGTTGTGTTAAGCATGGGGATGCATGCTTTTTAGTCAATAATGTGCGGGAGTTTGGTGTAATAATAATGTGAATAAATAACAAAACATTTTAGATGCAGTCAAGTCAACGTAAAACGTAAGATGAAATCTCTTATTCGGTAAAGATGAGAGAGTTTCATGAAGAAACAGATATCATCTCTCTCTTACTCACTCCATGACCATGACTTTGATAATCGAGACAAAGGTCCACTGGGAAGTTGCTAAGAAGCCCTCAGGCTCTGATACATAGCCCTTCTCATCTCTCTGCCTCTGATCAATATTGATTGACGGAGACTATATATTCCCTTTCTTCCTTTTCTTTTTTCTTTTTTTTTTTAGTACATAAAACCCCTTTCTCCCTTTTCTTATCCCTATCTTACATGACAAAGGGTCCTCCTCAATCTCATGGAGAAAAGTCCAACAATAGAGTTAAATCATAAATGAGGATTTTATAACCAAGGCATTCATTTTCAGGACAAATTATTTATTATTGCCTTACATCAGCAAATTCAAAATGAAAGATATATCTTTTAATCTAAAAACAAGTTAAAATTTCTTGTAAAAGACACATGGTAAATGATTACCTTAATTAATTTGGGGTTATTATCAGATGTCATTATATATATAGTTTTGTGGTTATAAGTTATAACCTTTTCATTCTTTAAGTTATAAACTTTGATATTTTTCATTCTTATTGTCTTATCTTATGATTCTCTCCAAAATATTCTTAGAAATTCCAAATACCATTCCATTGTCACACGCTTCCAGGCACGCCTTCCTCTGTTACTAATTACGTCATTCACTCTCTCTCTCCCTGCTTGTTAACGCAGTACGGACTGCGTCTGCTGACCCGTTCTTGCAGAGGGAGGGGACTTAATTCATGTGTACGTATGGTTTCATTTGATTCAAAATACAGAATATATACAATACAGTAGTACAGTATTCAACAACAATGAAAAAAACAAACTAACCTCTCTGTCTCTCTCCCCATTAGTCCATATACACACATGCCTCTGCCTTTTAAACTCTCCCACGCCTTTCCCAACTTCAATTTTAATGCTCTTAGAACTTGATTTTAGAAGAAGAAAAAAAAAAAGAACTTAATTTTATTAATACATTATTATCTTGTAGTAAAACAAATTTGCATGATCAGCAGGTCCATTAAAAAAGATAGTGTAATAAGTGTTTTATGTATAGCTTAGTGTGATCTACTCAACTAAGTTTCCACGATAATCTTCCTGGGTGAACAACAGCAGAGACATGTTTTTTATTGGGGGCGTATCTTTGCAAAACATAGATTGGCATGACAAGTCATGGCATAGGTACTGATAATATCAGGTCTGAATCGATTCAAACGGAATGCATGCCAATATTCGTCGCTACTGCAATACCTTCATTACTGGCCCATCACCATGCAAAGAAAAAAAATAAAATTCTTGTGCATGCATGTAACGCACAGGGCCTACGTGTACATATATAGAACACACCCTTTTCAATATTTTGTCAGTTTATACTGTTACTTATACAGAAGTGAATCCTCTCGTGTTAAAATTTTATATACCATTGAATAGGTAGAATCCAATTATCATTATCGAAGAAAAACATACATACAGAAATATCAGTAACGTGAAATTTTGTTTTTATTAATATGTTGTGGAGTGTACGCCAAAAGCAGAACTGTTATATTTTGTTTTGAGCAGTGATGAGGTGATGATGATATATGTATATAAGGTCGTAGTTAAGGGGTCCCCTCCTTCCTCCCTCGTCATGAATCATGACAAGGACGTCGTCGTAGCAGTAGAGCATTCTCTAATCTCTATGATTCAGGTTCTGGGTTGGGGGCCACTTGATCTCAGCGGTATGTTGCTTTTTAAGCAGCTTGGTTTAAGCTGACACATGAAGATCTGTGTCGCAGCCACAGAGAATGACCTCTCAGTATCCACCCTTTCACACCTCCGTTTTGTAGGCCTCTTAATTACCTCGCTCACACACCTTTTTCTACTATTACACATACATTTTGGATATAAGAAAAATAATTTGAGTGATATCGACTCTGCTATGAGGTATATATATGTCTATGCTAATAAACTTTGCTTTATCTGAGTGGACTTTCTTGCAATTGAAAGTATTTTATAATAAGGGTTAAGTTGATATTTAAATAAGAAATAGTCTCCAACTCTGATAATGAAGAGATATCTCATAATGTTACATAAAATAGATATAAAATGAAGAAAATACTTGGCAATGAGAGGCGTCA